GGTCCTGTTCACCCCAGCATGGCCACTAGGGTGATCATGGGCTAAGCTCAAGAGTTTGGCCCGGTATTTAGTTGGAACTACCAACTGTCTCTGAGGATGCCAGCCTTCCTGGTGTCCACCAGAAAGAGTTTCCTTGTATAAAAGTCCTCTTTCTACAACAAACCCGGATCGATTTGAAGAGCTGAGAGGTGGTGGGTTGCTCCGTGCCGCCGTCCAAGCTCTCTGGAGGCTTTCATCTGCTTCCTGTTTGGTCTTGAACTGTTCCCTTGATGCTGGAGACATCAGTTCCTCATTGGATTGTGGACCTATGCTTGGTCCCTCTGGAAGCGATGTAGGGGATGGGGCTGTTTCCGTTGACTGTGAACCGCTCTCCGCTGGGACACTATGTTGGGGTTCAGGCTCTGGCTGAGCCTCTTGTGTAGGGTTATCGGCTGCTGCCGGTTCAGGTTTGGTGGGGCCCTCTGGTGTTGAGGTTGCAAGTACTGGATTCAGTGTTGGCAAATGGTCTGGTGCTGGTTGTTCCGCTGGTTCCGGTTCTGGGACTGGTTCCGTCTGGGTCTCTGGGACTGGATCCACTACTGCTGTTGCAGACATTGGCCTGGGGTCCGGGTCCATTACCTCTGACCGGGTCCTGATAGAAGTTTCCGGAACAGAGGTAGGCCTCACTGCTTGTTTAGCCTGGTTGCAGGTGACTGTTCCCACCCTCTTGGCCTGCTTCACATGATTGGCCAAGTCTTCCCCCAACAGCATGGGGATGGGATAATCATCACAGACTGCAAAAGTCCACGTTCCTGACCAGCCCTTGTACAGGACAGGCAACTTGGCTGTAGGCAAATTGAAAGAGTTGGACTTGAAGGGTTGAATCGTCACTTGGATCTCTGGATTGATTAAATTGGGGTCCACTAAGGAAGCATGGATAGCTGATACTTGTGCTCCGGTGTCCCTCCACGCGGTGACCTTCTTCCCGCCCACTCTCACAGTTTCCCTCCGCTCCAAGGGTATCTGGGAGGTATCTGGGCCTGCGGACCTCTGGTGTGATTCCGGTGCAATGAACTGTAATCTATCGGGGTTCTTGGGGCAGTTGGCCTTTACATGCCCCAGCTCGTTACATTTAAAACATCGTCCAGCTGATGGGTCACTGGGGCGAGGTGGGTTGCTGGAGAACGGGGTGGTGGGACAATAAGGGGTCTGGAGGGTTCTTTGGGAGGTAGGTGGGGCTTTGGGCGGCCCCCGGTAATAGCGTGTGGTCTGGGGTTGTCCCTTCTGGTCTCCACTCCAACTGCGACTAGTTTTCTTCTTCTCTGCCACCTCCACCCATCTGGCTCCAATCTCTCCTGCCTCGATTACAGTTTTGGGCTTCCCATCTAGGATGTATCTTTCTATTTCCTCAGGAACCCCTTCTAAGAATTGTTCCATTTGCATTAGGAAGGGCAAATTTACTGGAGACTCACCACTTGCTCCTGATATCCAGGCATCCCAATGTTTCACAACGTGGTAGGCATGTCGGGTAAATGACACGTCTGGTTTCCACCTTAGGGCTCTGAACCTCCGACGAGAATGCTCGGGTGTTATCCCCATTCTGACTCTCACCTTGGATTTAAACAGTTCATACTTGTTCATGTGTTCTTTAGGCATTTCAGCTGCCACCTCAGCTAAGGGTCCACTGAGCTGTGGCCTCAGCTCTACCATGTATTGGTCGGTAGAGATGCTGTACCCAAGGCAGGCCCTTTCGAAGTTTTCTAAGAAGGCCTCAGTATCATCACCTGCCTTGTAGGTGGGGAACTTTCTGGGATGGGAAGTGGTACTTGGAGAAGGATTGCTAGGGTTTGTTGGGATATTCCGCTGAGCCTTTATCTTCTCCACCTCCTCCACATGCTTCCTGTCTTTTTCCTTCTCCTCGAGTTCTTTGGCCCTTGCTTCCATTTCTTTGTCCCTTGCTTCCATTTTCAGCCGCATGAGTTCTATCTGTCTTTCATGTTCCCTTTGTTTTTCCGCAGCCTGAAATCTGGCTAATTCCAGCTTTTGTCGAGCTGTGGATTTTGTCATTCTAACCTCTCTGTTTTTAACTAACTTTACACCCAAGGTTTAGAAATAAACAAACAAAATAAACAACAATAAATAATAAACAATAAACAATAAATAAACAAACAAAAATTGCTGTGCTGGAATAGAATACCTATTCTCCGATAGTGATTGTCAGCCTACAGAAAAAGACAATTCCCTGGTCTCTGCTCTAGGCCCAAACCAAAGCAAAAAACCTCCAACTACTTGGAAACCTGCTTACCAGCAGCCCAAAGGAAAAAAAAAAATTTCCTTTTCAAACCTGTGCTCCTTGTAAAACAAAAAAATCAAAATCCTTTCCACAGTATGCATCCGATGAAGTGAGCTGTAGCTCACGAAAGCTCATGCTCAAATAAATTGGTTAGTCTCTAAGGTGCCACAAGTACTCCTTTTCTTATTTCTCCATGTTTATTCCCCTCCCCCCCACTGTTCCTCAGACCTTCTTGTCAGCTGCTGGAAATGGCCCACCTTGATTATCACTACAAAAGGTTTTTCTTCTTCTCCTCCGCCCCCCCCTCCTCCTTGCTGGTATTAGCTTATCTTAAGTGATCACTTTCCTTACAGTGTGTATGGTAACACCCATTGTTTCATGTTCTCTGTGTATATAAATCTCCCCATTGTATTTTCCACTGGATGCATCCGATGAAGTGAGCTGTAGCTCACAAAAGCTTATGCTCAAATAAATGTGTTAGTCTCTAAGGTGCCACAAGTACGCCTTTTCTTTTTGTAAATACAGACTAACACGGCTGGTACTCTGAAACCTAATTTTTAGAGTAAATTTATTTCTGATTATTAACATGAAAGTTACAATTTATATTTTAGATACTGGAGACTAGCATTTGGTACCGAATAATAGAATATCCTGAGAATGTACTTCTGAAGAGTCAATAACAATAAACTACATTAGAACTCAGCCCAAACACTTTAAAGTTCACTTTCAGGTTATACTGAAGTGTACTCAAAGTGCAAGAACATTTACTGTTTTTAATATTAAGAAACTGAACAGTCATTATGCAAAGAAAAGCCTCTCAATGCTAGAGTACAGAGAAACAAATAATTGGAAAAGAAACACAGTGATGGGTAATTGTACAGCAGCTATGTACTCGGATTAGATGAGACAAATGGCAGAAAATTTCATTTAGAATCAGAGATGATAAAGCACTTAAAATATAAAAAGTGCTTACCAAATTGGCAATATACAACAGCACCTTTGGCACACTTGGCATCACAGAGAAAATGTTAAATACTGTGGAAGCAAGCACTAATTTAAGAGTGCAGTTCCTTTTTCAAGGTCTTTCTGCCTTGCCATATGCAGAGGTCCCAGGAGGGAATATCAGCATTTACACACCCATCACTTTACCAAATCAAACTGACTGACTGCTGCAGTAACCAGCTCAGGGAATGGGAAAACCCACTTATTGTACCTCTCCAGATGCAAGCCTTAGAAAAGTTTTTCCTGACACCTTCAGTGAGTGACCAGTTTACACCTTGTAGCACATAATCACTCTCTGTTTCGCCACTACAGCCCTGTTTATACAGTACCAAGAATGGTTAGGGTTATCACTTCTGAAATCCAAAACACCCAGCACTTCCCTTCCCCCACAAAGCAAGCCTACCATAACCCCAATCCTGAGGCAAGCGCACCTTCAACAACCACTTATAGTAGCTAGTGAGATAACATATATAGATAAGCTTGATAACATCACAACAACAGAGTTGTTTTATCAGCACATTTTTGAGTCTTTGTAGTCGTTTCATTTCGCCAGCTGCCACTGAATGTGCAGGTTCTGATGTGAGCTCCCCTCCCCAGGAGATGTAATAGGATCACTGGCACCATTGCCCTGATCTTTCATTATTTAATATACCTCCCACCTTTCTTCGCCCCCACATGACCCAAACCCTCGCTCAGACACATGAGTGATGTGCTCTCCTGTTGGTGGGCAGACAGCTGCTGTATATTCAACAGTTTTGATCTGTTACTGCTTAAACTGCAGAAGTGGGAACACTGCAGCATGTTTAGCTGGACCCCAAAACTTTTAATGTTAGATATCCCAGTGTATTGTGATGGTGAGGCACATCTTTAGACCTACATAAAAGAAAACCTGACCAATTACATTATTTTTCTGGCAACTAGCAAAACCGTTAAAAAAACCCAGCCAGGTGGGTGAAATACCAGCCAGATGATAATCCTAATTGGGGTACAAGACTGGTAACCAACATCTCAGGGCCCCAGCTGCTGCCCAGGGTGTCCCCAGGCTCGCAGGCGGCTGCCCCCCGGCCACAGCCCCTAGCGCAGCACCCCCTTACCTCGACGGCCGCCGCTCCGGGCTGCTTCCCCGCCGCCCCTCGGCAGCTCCCACTCTTCACCTTGATCCCATACGCGGCCCGCAGCTGCTGCAGCACCGCCAGGCGCACCACGGCGCGGCCGCGCCCCGTCATCCCGGCTCCGCCGAGCCTCGCGTCCCCCTCTGCTCCGGCCCCAGCCGCGCCTCGGCCGGCCTCTCACCCCCTCGCCACCATCCCGACCTGCTCACACCGCCCCCCTGGGCATCCCGTCCCCGACCCTTCACAGCCCCATCCCCGCCTCCCGACGCGTCTCAAACACAGCGCTCGGCCCCGGCGCCGCCTCGGATTGGCCCGCTGCGTCCGTTCGAATCTCAGGTCCTCACCGCTCAACGGCCAGCCATGCGCGTCCTTAGAGGCGCCTGAGTCCTGCCTCTCCGCTGGGCCCGGCGCCGCGGCAGGGAACGACGGCGGAGCCCCCTCCTGAAACTCCCAGCAATGCAGCGTTCCCCGCGCGGGCCGCTAGTCCGAAGGAAGTGCGGTTATCTTCAGGCGATCGCAGGAGCTACCTAAAGCTCCATCGCACGAGCCACAGGAGCGGCGGGCTACGGCAGCCGGTAGAGGCCGCTGTTGGGGAAGTGGTGGAGACGCAAGCTTCGCATTGAGACAGCCTGAAATGGGCTGCAGCCCCCTCCCGGAAACCGCCCCGCCTCCCCAGCCAGGTCCTGGCCCGCCGTCCCCGCGCAAGCCGGCCGAGGCCGGAGGGCCCTGCAGGAGTGGGCGGAGCGAGGCCGGCTTCCGAGCATGGGGAGGGGCTGGCTTGGGGGGGCAGGGGGGAACTGCCCCCCATCACTCACTAGTGGCGCGCCACATCTCTGCACTTCCTGTCGCCGGTGAGTGCAGGCCCAACCCTGCAGCAGTCCTCAGGGGAGTGGAGGGGGGACTGGGGCAGAGCAGGGGTGGGGGCCATGGGGAAGAGCCAGCGAGGGGGCAGAGCAGGGGCTGGAGCAGCACGTAGCTTCCTAGGGCACCAGGAAATTTGGTGCCCTAAATTTCCTGGTGTCCTACACAGCTGTGCACTTTGCGTATGATTAGGGACAGCCCTGCTGTCACCCTTATATGTCCTTGGACTCAGCAGGCTGGGTTGAGCAGCACTTCCAAGCTGCCACCCTCCTATGCCACAGGTTCAGCACGTCCCTATCTCCACTTTCCCGTTACAGTTGTTCTGGTAGTAACCCACTTGATGAGCAAACCCCACAGGATTTTTGGGCGTTACAGGGATCTTTAGCTTAGGGAAGAGGGGCATTGCTGCAGAGCAAATGGGGAAGCCAAAAACACAAGAGGGAGGGAGGGAAATAAGCAACCAGATTAATCATAAAAGTTATTTATTGCCAGCTAATAACCATACAAGACGAGCCAAACAAACAAAAGTGTTACAATATTAAATCTAGCTTAAATATGATTACAAAAGTCAGGTTTAGAAAACTATAACTGATCACACAAGTCAGGGTTAGAAAGCTATACCTAGAGTAGAAAAAAAAAAACAACAACAGAGAGAGAGAGAGTTGGGTTCTCTCTACTTCGTGAAACTTGAACCGGTCAGGGTTCCCAGGTGGTGGTGGTAGCTGAGGGTCTGGAGTGCTGGAGACAGGCAGAGCCCCCAAGCACGATCAGTCAGGAGAAGATGAAGTCCCAATAAAACTGATGCAGATTTTGGATCCAGGCATCAGAACGCTTATTTGAGCATGGCTAGGGGTTTTTGTAGGGAAACAACAATGGTTCAAGGGAGAACGTTGGATTTGTTTATGGGTAAACTGATGGCTCAAGGGAGTATACCAAAGTTGTTTTGTTCAAGCTAGACAATAGGAACTCATCATTCTTGGCTATGGGTGGTGTTCCTTCAAGGGAGCTCGCAATGCAATTAGGCAGCTTCAGAATTTTGGTTACCAATAAAGGATTTATTACTAGAATTGGTCTGATAACTACTGAGCTAGGTGTGTGCAAGCGTGGGTTTGTTAATATCTGGAGCAGAGATTCCCCCATCATGCAGTGCTTCCCTGCTTTTCTGGTCCCAGAGTTCAGTGAGGTTCTTGCGTTGGAATCGCTGTTCTCCATTCTGTACGCTAATGGAGATGTCTCCCTGGCCCATCTTCGATGCAAATGAGGCTAGGGGAGTTGCCTTAACCCTGTCACCCTTGTCCAGAGGGGTTTAGGGGTGTGTCTCACTGCCTTTTCATTGCTTTTTGTAAGGCTTTCCTCTGATCAGTTTTGATTCAAGCGGAGGGTGGGTGATGTCCTTCGTGAGTCAGACAGGCTGGATACGGCGCCCTGGTTCTCCAAGAATAGAGAACTGACAGATAACAACATGGAGATCAGCAAAAATAAAACACCAAGATCCAAGCAGTTAGAATTAATTGGGAAGGAAGGTGTCAGTGACAAAGTTAGAGAAGGTTTGAAAAAAGATGCCAGGGAAAATGCTTCTAAGAAAGGCAATGAGGTTGGAAGGCAGGAGCTCTCTACAAAGAATCCATGGTGGAAGAAACATTGTGCTGGTGGGGCGTACATGAAGAGGTAAGGTGCAGGTCCACCTTGTCTCCCTTTTGGATGTTTCTTTTGTGTTCTTAATAGGGATAACAGTTCAATGGCTTTTCCTACTCTTTGATGTAAAGCCTTCTTGAGGTGAATTAGATCTTCCATACAAGAGTTGTACTGATTTAGCTTAGGAACAGATTTAGTTAAGTCAGTGCAAACTTATTGTGTGGACACACTTAATTTGTTTTAACATGTCTATTCCTGCTGATTAGCTTCCGATATGGCATGTCCCAGTAGTAGTATCAAAAAACAGATCCAGCCCATTTAATGTATTTATGTGGTCTGCATGACATACAGATTCTGCAGAAGTGTAGATTCATTTTGCAAGCAGAGATCTGGATCTACAAAGGGTCTGTCTACACTGCAATTAAAAAACCATGGCTGGCCCATGCCAGCTGGTTTGGGCTCTCAGAGCTTAGGCTAAGGTATTGTGTAATTGCAGGGTAGACGTTCAGTCTTGGGCTGCAGCCTGAGCTCTGGGATCCTCCGACCTCGCAGGGTCCTAGAGGTGGGGCCCCAGCCCAAGTCTAAACATCTACACTACAATTAGCCCCTTAGCCCAAGCCCAAGTTAGCTAGCACAGGCCAGCTGTGAGTGTCTAACTGCAGTGCAGACATACTCAAACGGACTTAGGTGCCTCCAGGGTTAGCATTAGAGGGGTGGGGGGAGAGAGAGAAAGACAGAACCACACAAACCACCCTGAAACAATGGGATTGACAAAGCCTGAGTTTTCTGAGGAACAGCCGTGTTAGTCTGTATTCGCAAAAAGAAAAGGAGTACTTGTGGCACCTTAGAGACTAACCAATTTATTTGAGCATGAGCTTTCGTGAGCTACAGCTCACTTCATCTGATGAAGTGAGCTGTAGCTCACGAAAGCTCATGCTCAAATAAATTGGTTAGTCTCTAAGGTGCCACAAGTACTCCCTTTCTTCCTGAGTTTTCTGAATCCCATTCGTTGTATAGGCACCTAAGAATGGGATTCAGAAAAGCCAGCATGCTAGGCAGGGAGCCACCTAAGCTATCCAATAGCAGATGCTGATGAGGAGCATGTCATAGGCCCCTCACTTTCACTCAGTGTGGTGTCTTACTCTGGGCTGGAGGGAAGCATCTAAATTTGTATCCACAACTGGGAACCCTGCTTCTGGAGTCAGGCTGCCTAAGGACCTAAGCAGTTCCTTGGGAGAATGAGTTAGGTCCCTGCCTCGCTCAACACAAAGCAGCTGGAGCAGGTGGTGATGCCTAAATGATAAACTTTTAGCTCACCAATTAGAGCCACGTTCAGATCCCCCCTCTTTGCCAGTTGGGGAGAAGCATTTGAACAAGGGGTCTCCTACCTCTCAGGAGGGTGCTCTAACCAATGAGCTAGGAGATATTGCAGTGTTGGGCTCCTTCAGTATCTCCTGTTAAATCTGTTTTAATTTGGATAAATGAAGTTATTGGAGCAGCACGAGTGGATCCTGCATCTCCCAACTAGGTGCCCTAACCACCGAGCAATAGAGTCACTATGGGTATGTCTACACTGAAAAAACTTCACAGCTGTGAGTCTCAGAGTCCAGGTTAACTGACTTGGGCTCATGCTGTGGGGCTAAAAAAAATAGCAGCATAGACATTCCCACTTGGGCTGGAGCCCGGGTTCTGAAACCTAGCAAGAGGGGTGGGTCTCAGAGCTCAGGCTCTAGCCTGAGCAGGAATATCTATGTTGTTATTTTTGGCCCCATAATGCAAGCCCAAGTCAGTTGACCTGGACTCTGAAACTCACTGCCATGGGGCGTCCCACCCCAGTGCAGATGTACCCTGACTGTCTCTGGCCCAATGACTATTTAAGTATTTATCCAAAGTAGAACAGGTCCAATGGAGAGTAAGGGAAACACCCCTCCTTGCCCTTTTCAGAATATCCCATAGCTCAGTGGTTAAGGCACTCAGAGGTTGGAAACCCCTGTTCAAAAACTCCCCCCGCCAATCAGACAGATGGGGTGAGTTGAACTGGGCTCTCCTGAATCCCTTACGAGTGCTCTAATCACTGGGATGAGAGAGTTATAAGATGACTTGTCACTTCCTAACCTGTAGATGGCCTCTGAGCACACCTACCAGATTGGGCCCTGCAGGCAAGACAGGCTCAGACTTTAAGGTCAGAAGGGACCATTGTGATCATCCAGTCTGACCTCCTGTATATTGCAGGCCACAGAACCTCACCCACCCACTCCTGAAATAGACCCCTAACCTCTGGCTGAGTTACTGAAGTCCTGAAAGCATGGTTTAAATAGGGTATCCAGCCCTCCAGAATTGGCCTGGAGTGTCCAGGAATTAAAGATCTATTTTTAATTAAAGATTGTTATGAAATCTGCAGGAGTACATCCAATCAAAATTGGCAACCCTAGGTTTAAAGACTTCAAGTTATAGAGAATTCCTCATTTATACTAGTTTAAACCTTCAAGTGACCTGTGCCTCATGCTGCAGAGGAAGGCAAAAAAAGAAAAACCCCAGGGTCTCTTGCCAATCTGACCTGGGGGAGAATTCCTTCCCAATCCCAAATATGGCGATCAGTTAGACCCTGAGCATTTGGGCAAGACCCACCAGGTAGATACCAGGCAAAGAATTCTCTGTAGTAACTCAGAGATCTCCCCATCTAGTGTCCCATCTCCAGCAGTTGATTTTTGCTACTGGCAGTCACTGATGCGCCACATGGATACATGAATGCCCATCTTCCTCCAGTTCATGGATTGTGCTGAGATTTAGGAAGACACTCCTCCCTCACTCTGCCTATGCTCAGGGGCAGAAACTTAGTAGGGTGACCAGATGAAATGGACAAAATATCGGGACACATGGGGGAAGCAAAGAAAAAAATAAAAAAAGCGCCCAGAGCGGCCAAAGCCACAATATCGGGACAAATGGTGTCCTGACCCTGCATCGGTCAGGACGCGGGACAAAGAACTAAAAATCGGGACAGTCCCGATTTTATGAGGATGTCTGGTCACCCTAAAACTTAGGCAAGTAGAGAACTTGTAAAGTGGAAATTTAGGCACTGAGTGAGTTTAGGCAGTAGCCAAATGGGGGTTTTGTGGATTGTAGTGAAACCTTAAACAAGGGTTGCCAACTTTCTAATTCCAGAAAACCGAACACCTGTGCCCTGCCCCTTGTCCCATGCCCGAGGCCCTGCCCGCTCCATCCTCCCTCCCTCCATCGCTTGGTCACCCTACCTGCAGGAGACTTCCTGTGCCCATGGGCCCCTCGCCCAGGGGGCTGCAGTGCTGCTGTGCCCAGCATGAAGATTGGGTCCCAGAGTGAAGGGCTGGAGGCTGGCCGCCTGGCAATGAGGGGGCTCTGCTCTGCCTGGGCCTTGGGCCACTGGCTGAGTTTTATTGACTGGTTTTATTGCTTTTTCATTTTCTTTCTCCGATTATGATGGTGCCCGGGAGGACTCCACTCTTCCAGGGGATGCCTAAATCACCCTGTTGGGAAGGGAGGAGTGTGGACTGCAGGGGAAAAGATGGAGGTGGGGTTGGGGGAGGAGAGCGGATGGAGAGGGAAAGAGGCCAAGGACGAGAGCAGGGTGGGGGTGAGAGGAGGCAGTAAAGGAGAGAGGAGGGGTATGTTGGGTGGATAGGGATGCAGGGGGAGGCAGAAGGCTACAGGTGCATATGGACATAATGGGAGCGCAGCAGTGTATGGAGGTGAATGGGGTGCAGGGCTCTGGGGGGTGAGGGACATGGGGGTGGTGGCTCTGGGAGGTGGAGAGGATGGGTGGGAGAGCCCTGTAAGGGGTACTGGGCTGGGGTGGTTAGGTGTGGGGGGCAGGGTGGGATGGGACGAGGGAGGGATGCAGTGAGGGGGATGGGCGTATCCAGAGTCTGGGGCTGCTGGGACCAGTGGCAGATTCAGGAGGACTGTCCTGAGCCAGGGGGGCGGTGCTGCTGGGGTGGAGATGGTGCTGGGGCAGTGCTGCTGGGCTGGGCCGGCCCCCGACTCCCTGAGGTGGCCAGGCTGGGCACTGCGTTTGTCTCGTTCTCATCCACTCCCCTCCAGCAGCCCCATTCCCAGCACTTGGAGATGGGGATACATACTTTGAACTCCTGGGTGCCGGCAATGGGGTGACAGACCACAGTTTGCCACAGAGCACACGCCGCAGCTTGAGCCCAGCCACAGGAGGAGTGTGAGGAGGAGAAGAGGGACTGCAGCAGCAGGAGAGGCGCACGCCATGACCCCTCAACAACCGCCTGCCTGAGCATTCGCGAGTCACGCTACTTCGTCCCCTGCCCTGACCCGGCCAATGGGAGCTGCACTTGCAGTCGGGGGGTGGGGCAGCATGCGGACCCCCCTGGTCATCCCTAAGCCTAGGAGCCGGACATGCCGGCTGCTTCCTGGGAGCCATGTGGCACGGAGGCTAGCAGGGAGCCTTCCAGTCCCGCTGCGCAGCGCTGCTGAGCGGAGCTGCCAGGATCCCTTTTCGACCAGGTGTTCCAGTCAAAAACCGGATATCTGGTCACCCTACCTTAAACTGAGACTTAGGTACCTAAATCCCTTTGTAGATGTGGGCCCAATATGAACAGATCAATTAACTAATGTAGTGGTGTCTTCCTGAGGCTGAAGACAGCCTGAACCCATAGCTGTGAGAATTGTGAGCTCCTTTGTACCCTGTTAGGAGGATAGTGGGACTTACTCTAAAGGCCAACGACAACACATTGTCATATTAGCTATTTCATTGCTGATTTTAGTAAGTGGCTGGGGGGAGGCGCGGAAGGAGCAAATGCCACCAGGGTTGGGCACAAATAAAGTTATACTAAATTGTGGAGCTGCAAACACCCAGCAAAACAGAAAAATCTAGAGTACAAGGAATTAGGAGAAAAACAGGTAAGAATGGAAGAGATATTTGGAAAAAATGCAAGCCAACATTCTGAAGGGGATCCCAAGACATAATGGAAAGGAGAAACCCAGGAAGCAGCAATGCTCAAAGGCCTAGGGCCAATAATGGATAGCAAAGAGAAAAGAGGCAATATTTCCTCTATATGGCTCCCATGCAGTCACATCTGGGATACTGTAGGTTGTTCGGGTAGCTGTATTATGGCAAACATTTTAGAAGTGAAGGTGCAGTTCAGAAGTGAGAGGCTGGAGGGAACGAGAGTTATTACTGGCGACAGTGGAGCACCACCTCTAGTTAAGGTTGACTGACACTTTCCATTTAAGGCCTGGTTTTCAATTGCTCATAACTTTGCTTATGACCATTTGAGCTTAGGTTTCAACATGCTAGTGGTGTACCTTAGGCTGAATTTTTCTGGAAATATATGTATAGCGTGGCTAAGCAATTATGGCTAGGAGAGAAACAGGTCTACACCTATTTATAAGTTGCAAACACCAAGGAAGAATAGGAATTTATTATGGTGCACTAAGAAATAAAATCGAAAAAAAGAAAGGGAACATCAGGCTACATTTGGGAGGCTTCTCAACAGTCTGTTCTGTTAGAGTGTGGAATTCTACCAACGGAAATGCTGCAAGATCCAATGCATGCAAAAGCTAAAATTATATTGGACCAATTACAGAAAACAATCCTGCATTAACAGGGAAATGGGCTGTATGTTCTACATCTCTTGCTTCTGATTGTACCTGCTAGATTAGGTCCACAGTGGTTTTCAAGCTTCATTGCACCACGACCCCCTTCTGACAATAAAAACTACTATATGCCTCTTCCCACCCCCTGCGTAGGGCTGAAGCAAGGAGGGAAAGAGCTGAATCCCTTGGGCTTTGGCTTTAGCTCCAGGTGGCAGGGCTTGGGGTTTCACTTCAGCCTCGGGTTCCAGTGAGATTAACACCAGCTCTAGTGAACCCATGAAAATGGGATCTTGACCCACAGTTTGAGAACCACTGGATTAGGAGACTAATGAAGACATTTCCAGCCTGTAAGAATTTACAGCAGAAATTTAGTATTATAAACTTCAGATCAGCCCCCTAAATTACATAGGCATTTGCAGATGTAACTATAGTTAGTGATTATTCACTAACATTTCTACTAAGCTTCCAGTTCCAGAAATAACCTTTAAAACAAGCTAAAGATACACAAATAGCATGAACCCAAATGACAATTATCAATTCCAGTTTACTGCAATAGTGCATGCATCCGATGAAGTGAGCTCTAGCTCACGAAAGCTTATGCTCAAATAAATTGGTTAGTCTCTAAGGTGCCAAAAGTACTCCTTTTCTTTTTGCGGATACAGACTAACACGGCTGCTACTCTGAAACCTGCAATAGTCAAGATACACACAAGAGGGAGCTCTGACCTGAAAAAATGAAATAAAACTTTTGCAGTTCTAAGTCTGTCTCGCCCATCCAAACCATATATTAGCATGAACTCACACAGCAAAGTGATCAAAGACAAAAAACCCACCATCCATCCAACCCGTGGGTGAATACATTTCACAAAGTGATCACTCCATATCTGACCTTTCAGTCCTCATTGTCAAAGGAAACCTGCACAACCCCTTCAAGAGAAGAGCCTGCAAGCTTATGTTCATAACATTGCTAGACCCTAAACGTCATGGTGTTACTGAAGACACTGAATTTAAATAAATTTGTTAGTCTCTAAGGTGCCACAAGTACTCCTTTTCTTTTTGCGGATACAGACTAACACGGCTGCTACTCTGAACCCTACGACAAATCTGTAAGCTACTCACCCCCCTTTTTTGTCCTATGAGGTGTTAACTGGCCACTTCCCCTGCAATGGTCTATTACAATATGTTAAACAATCTGTTTCACCTTGTACTTAACTGTCACACTGAGTACCTTTCCCAGACTTGAAAGAAATCTCTCTGTAAACTCAAAGGCTTGTCTCTTTCACCAGTAGAAGTTGGTCCAATGTTACCTCACCCACTTTGTCTCAAGAAAATAAATTGAAGAAGTTAGAAGTTGACAAGAGATAAAACAAGCACCTAAATTTTCAGAAGGGATTAATGATTTTAAGAGCTCAACTTCAGACACCTTAAAGGGCCAGGGAGGAAATCCACTCTCCATTCGAGAGAATGAGAAGATTCCTACTGAGATCAGTGGAGACAGGATTTCACCCTAAGGGTATGTCTACACTGCAATTACACACCTCTGGCTGGTCCATGTCAGCTGACCCAGGGTTGGGCTAAGGACCTGTTTAATTGCAGTGTAGATGGGCTCTGGCTGCAGCCTGAACTCTGGAAACCTCCCACCTCACAGGGTCCTAGAACCCTATCTCCCTCCCAAGCCCCAAATGGCTATACTGCTATTAAACAGCTCAGTGAGCCTGAGTCAGCTGGCACAGGGCAGCCACAGGTTTTTAACTGCAGTGTAGACATGCCTTAAGCATACAGCACTTACTGAAAATCAGGTCTCAGGTGTCAAGTTGGGACCCCAAGATTATTAGGTGCTTCTGAAAATCTTGGCCTGATAAAATATATCATTTTGAAGATTTAATGGTCTCACCACAATAGCTACTCAGATTAACAGTTCCTGGCAGGACCTCAGCCAATAGGAGCAGAGATCATGGAGAGGGCAGCTTAAACACAGCCAGGTTACCCAGAACTGTGCAGAAGAGAGCCTAGGTGGGTGCTAGGATGTGAACTCAAAAACAGACTGCTGGGAGAGGCCACCCAGAAATTCAGCCCCCAGGAGCTGAGAAAAGCAGCTGCCACAGGCACCTTTAGACACTGACAACATTCTGTCCAACTGTTTAATAGTTTTCACTCTTAGTATTTTCCCCCATCACCGCTTGGCAGTTTGCTCACACTCCATTCCATCCCCTCCCTCAATATCTTCATCTCAAGCTCATTTCCCCTGTTCATTCCATTTTCTCTTTTCCCCATCCCACTTACCCCTACTGTCCTTCTTTGTCTCTTTTATCTATTTTATTCCCAGCAAGGCTTCCTCCCATCATGTATCCCTCCACCCCCCCCAAAGAAAAATAGTGACATTACTGTGACATTTGCTGCCCACCATATTGTTCAAAAAGCTTGTGTTAGTTACATCCCTTTCCTCTGTCTGTCTTGTTTATTGAGGCCTTGTCTACACCACAAAGTTAAGTTGCCTTGCATCAGCCTGTGTTGACCTAACTGTGCATGTGTCTATTTAAATTTGTCTCCCACCGTTGTAAGTGCCCCATTGTGCTGACATAGTAATACTACCTCCCCAAGTGGTGTAGTGTCATAGTCAAGGTACTTCGATCACTGCGGCACAAATGTAGACACTGTGTTAGGGTTGACATAACTAACTGTCCTCCAGCAGCTGTCCCACTATGCCCTACTTTGATTGCTCTGGTCACCATTGTGAACTCCACTGCCCAGGGGTCACAGAGACTTGGAAGCCCAACCAACCCCCCACCCAAATGTCCCACGAATGTTTGAAATTCCTTTTCCTGATTGTCCGGCTTGGTGAGCACAACTGTCCAGCTGACCATGCCAGCTACACACTCCAGACATGCTCCTGCCTGGGGTAGACAAAAGATACTGGATCTCTTGGGTCTGTGGAGAAAAAAGGCGGTGCAAGTATAGCTCTGAATCAGCTGTAGAAACATCAACATCTGCAAGCAGATTGCTCAGGGAATGCAGGAGAAGGGCTATGACAGGGACCAGCAGCAGTGCCTCATGAAAGCCAAGGAGCTGCATCAGGCATATCGGAAGGCCAACAACTGATCCAGTGCCAAGCTGCAGACCTACCACTTTTACTAAGAGCTTCATGCCATCCTCAGCGGAGACCCCACCATCCCCGACAGCACCATGGATACCTCTGAGGAGCTTGAATCAGAAGCCCCTGTCGTGAACACCAAGTAGGAGGAAGTGGTGGACGAGGAAGGAGGAGGATATAGGGGACAGGCAATGACAGGATCTAGCTTTGCAGTGAACAAGGACCTTTTTTTGACTCCACCACAGTCCAGCCACTTGAGCCCAACGCAAGAGAAGGAACCTCAGGTAAGCATGTAGATAAATTTGTCTCCCACAAGGTTGTCCCCCTGCAAAGTAGCAGGACAGAATCTTGACTTTTAAATTAATTTACTTGTGCTAGAAGAGGCAGCGGTACAACCAAGAGAGGTAGAGCCGCTATCTGCTTTTCATTCCCCTCTAGAGTTAGGGAGGAGGTGCCATGTGGAGCAGTTTGCTTATGTACACAAGAAGGTCCCTTGAATCTGCCTGAGATCAATGAAACTTCCATGGATGTACTCTGCAATCCTCTGCCAAAGGTTTCTAGGGAGGGCAGCCTTATTTCTTCCACCGCAGTAAGATGCTTTCCCACGCCACTCAGCGATAACTTCAGTAGGCACCATTGCAGCACACAGGCTAGCAGCATATGGGCCTGGGTGGCATCGGGATACCAGCAGCCTTGGGCTCAAAGGCAGTGTTCTCTCTGCTTTTGTTACCCTCATAATACCATAAGAATGGCCATACTGGGTCAGACCAAAATCCGTCTAGCCCAGTATCCTGTCTTCCAACAGTGGCCAATACCAGGTGCCCCAAAGGAAATGAACAGAACAGGTGATCATCAAGTGATCCATCCCGTTGCCCATTCCCAGTTTCTGGCAAACAGAGGCTAGGGACACCATCCCTGTCCAGCCTGGCTAATAGCCACTGATGGACCTATCCTCCATGAATTTATCTAGTTCTTTTTTGAACCCTGTTATAGTCTTGACCTTCACAACATACTCTGGCGAGGAGTTCCACAGGTTGACTGTATGTTGTGTGACAAAACACTCCCTTTTGTTTGTTTTAAATCTATTGCCTATTGATTTCATTTGGTGACCCCTAGTTCTTGTGTTATGAGAAGGAGTAAATAACACTTCCTTATTTACTTTCTCCACACCTGTCATGATTTTATAAACTTCAATCAGATCCCCCCTTTAGTCGGCTCTTTTCCAAGCTGAAAAGTCCCAGTCTTATTAATACCTCCTCATATGGCTGCTGTTCCATACCCCTAATAATTTTTGTTGCCCTTTTCTGAACCTTTTTCCAATTCCAAAATATCTTTTTTGAGATGGGGTGACCACATCTGCACGCAGTATTCAAGATGTGGGCGTACCATCGATTTATGTAGAGGCAATATGATATTTTCTGTCTTATTATCTATCCCTTTCTTAATGACTCCCAACATTCTGTTTGCTTTTTTGACTGCTGCTGCATATTGAGTGGATGTTTTTGGGGAACTATCCACAATGATTCCAAGATCTCTTTCTTGAGTGGTAACAGCTAATTTAGACCCCATCATTTTATATGTATAGTTGGGATTGTTTTCCAATGTACATTACTTTGCATTGATCAACATTAAATTTCATCTGTCATTTTGTTGCCCAGTCACCCTGTTTTGAGAGATTCTTTTGTAGCTCTTCGCAGTCTTCCTGGTACTTATCTATCTTGAGTAGTTTTGTATAATCTGAAAATGTTTATCCCTTTTTCCAGATCATTTATGAATATGTTGAATAGGACTGGGCCCAGGATAGCCCCCTGAAAGACACCACTATGTACCTCTCTCCTCTCTGAAAACAGGAATGAGAGATCAACTAAAATCACCACCACCTATGGAAAGTGATGGCAGTATTCAATGCCATTGTCCTATATACTAGAAGCATGCAACTGAGGAATTCCCTCCTCATTTCTCCTACCCCGCACCCTGGCGGGTCATACTCAGCGTGCTGGTGCAGTGATTAGTGTTGCACACAAGCAGGCACAAGCAGAATTAAGAACGTAGTGGCTAAAAATTCAGGAGAGCGAGTTCAGCATCTCTAGTTTCCAAATTCTGTTCTACTTCCAAAGACGTCACAATACCGAAGAAAAGAAGATGGCCTTGTTGTGGTTACCCCAGAATTGTTGTAGGTGCACTATCTGTAAGAGATGAGGTTGACCTGTAACATCAGCTTTAAACCCTCCTGAGTTCTGGCAAAGTCCAAATCCGGATCCAAATCTTGCTGTGAGCTCACATCCACCTCTCCTATTTGTGCCTTTCAGTTTAACACACTATTGTAGCTCTTCTGCAGCAAAATAGGAATATTCAAAGACTGGGTTCCTTCCTGTCAATCGGCGTGGGAAGGGGAGATGGGAAAGTGAGCTGCATATAGAAAATTACAATGAGAACAAAAGCCTGTCCAAATTATGCAATAAGGGATCATTATGCTACAAAATTGCTCTTCAAATGTGGTTGTCAATGGAAGATATTAAGATTTCAAGTTATTTTCCTGATGAGGACTTAAAAACCTTTTTTATGCAAGAAATTAATCTTAAAACTGACTACATAATGAGCATCCTTTGGTTCTTAGAAAAAAATCAAAAAGCTTGAGTAGTCCCAAAGCATATGAGTGTAATATATAAGGCTTTTGTTTTATGGCAGATTAATGGTTTTATAGGCCATTGCCACATTAGGACTTGTAATCATATTGGAAACTTGATAACCGGACAACAGTTATGCTCTTTTTGTGCTAAAACCACTGCCTATTATTCTGGTGAGTATTGTCTCATTGTTTCCTGGTACTCCCCCATCCGTCTCCAGCTGAACTGGAGCAGAAATAGGTCGAGAGCCACTGTAAACTTTTAATTGTAGGAGGGCTAGAGGAAACAAAATGAGCAGGTGAATGGTCATGGTGCTGCTACGGCCGCTCAGGCTCACCCCATGCAGGAAGACATTCATGCAATCAGTGGTTTGCTAACTGATGCACGGGTCTAGAGTCAAGTGTCCCATTATCTACCTATGTTCTATATGGCACCCCTCTTTGTAGTATCTGAGCGTTTCTCAACATTTTGAATTTACATACAAGCTCATTTCTCTCTCACTATTCCCTACAATCAGCAAGGGCTGAGCTTTGCGTTTTTGGTGCTCTCGTGAGCAGTGCACGGGACTGGGAGCCCTGGGTTCTATTCCTAGGTCTGCCATTGTCCTGCTGTGTGACTTTGGGCAAGTAATTTAATCTCCCCAGGATTAGAAGACACCGTCTTTATTAAAGTGGTTTGAGATCTATAGATGATTTTATAGTTCACTGTGATTCCATATCCCTCTGCCTAGGGGCAGCAGGGACAGGGCGCCGCTAGCGAGGAGCCGCCCGAGGTGAGCACCACCTGGATCCAGTACCCTGAATCCCCTTCTATGCCCCAATGCCTTGCCCTGAGCCCCCTCCCGCACCCAAACTCTCTCCCAGAGCCCATGCCCCACATCCCCTCCTGTACCCCAACCCCCACTCCACACCCAAATTCACTCCCTCTTAGTTAACTGGAATTTTTCACTTACCAGCACCCCCCATCCCCCAACATGCCAGATAAAAAAGCTTTTACTGTACTTCACTTCACATTAGAAGGGTAGCATGATTTTAGCTGAATATAATAGGGACACATTTATAGTTTGTATTACAGTAATTATTTAATATCATTACAAATAGTAGAAGGGTCCCATTGGGCTAGATGCTGAATATACATATAGTAAGAGGTGGTCCCTGTCTTGAAGATCCTACAGCGTAAGACCCCAAGTCTTCAAATTCTTGTGCACATGATTAATTTTACTACTGTGAATTATTTTATTGACATCAGTGGGAGTACTCAAGGCAGTAAAGTTAAACACATGTTTAAGTGTTTATTGGATTACGGCTTTAATAAGCTGTTTATCTGGTAGTATAAACCTTTTTCAATTATTTTCAAAGGAAATTCCCATTGAGAAGTAACAATTTATTTTGAAGCCATCTAAGGCAGACAAGAAAAGACAGCAATTCATAACAGAAAAATCAAATACTTTTTTTGAGATGGCTTCTTTTGGGGTAAATAAGAGTCTATGGTTATACTGATGAATTTCCCACTTTGACCTTATCATCTGCCATTTTTCTGATGCTGCTTTTCGTATTTGAAATCTCTATCCATCACCATCCTTGAAATTTCTGTAGTGGACTCACTCCTACAGCATTGCTCTTTATAAATGGGGTCTGATTTGTCATTTGGCTTTAACACACTAGTAATTTGTTCCTCAAAACAGCACATGGCATTTCCCTTCATGCTTCCTTAGGAAAGACCAATTTTTTTCTATTTCTCGCTCTCATGTTTGTCCATCAGTTATGATCAGATCCAAGTAAGAATATATCTGTGGAGAATTACCTGCCTTCTACTTGATGGCTGATGATACATTGTTTCCTAGAGGCTCAAGCTGGTTCTTCTTATTTGTTGTGACACGTCTTCACCAAAAGGTTGTCAAAGTGAAAGTTCTACACATCATTCTAGGCTTCCCACTCTGCATCAAATTTTAATCAACTCTTTAATTGTCACAGTGTCTTGTGAAGCTTGAGTCTACCACGAAAATGTCTTCCTGTCCTTTGTTCCTTAAAAAAACAAGGGGTAAAGGAATAAATCCAGATAAATAAAGGCTGTTCTATACAATTGTAATTTGTATGGCAGTTTAGACAAAGACATGAAGAGGAGCCATTTCTAGTAGAAACAGAGGGTGATTGTGGTTTGTCCAAACCCAAATGGGAAGTCTCTCTAGAGTCAGGAACAGAAATATGGTCTCATCAGTCCAGTTCTGTGCCTTAACCACACGACAATCCTTCCTCTTTGTGGACTAGATAGGTTTTATTTTAACCTAATCAAGTTTTCCTGTAGAGGGCCGAAATCCCACCATCTGTAAACAGGCAAAAACTCCCCTTTTGTCTGCCATACAGACAAAAATTGGGAGCCTGGCTGAGCTAAGTAAAACCAGTGTGTACTGATTCTATCCATTTGGTTCAACCTTTGACAAATGTATAGGCTTTCAAGACATTTGAATACAGCATGATGCATACATGCTTTTGTAGAGGAGTTCTTCCTAAACAGGTACCATATTTTATTAAATTCTTCAGCTGCTTTATGAGATATTTTCAGCTAGCTCCAGAGCTACAGAACTATCCATTGACTGCATCAAAATATCTGTTTAAAAACCTGCAAAGATCAAACCTTAGCTATGTTAGCTGCAGAAAAACCACCACTCTTAAAGCTGACTTCCTGCTTGAAAAACCAGAAGCTAATTGCAGAACAAACACTAGTTGCTAACAGTTTCTACAACTGGTAGCAGTTACTGAGATCAAGCATATCTGATGCAGAGAACTTCACAAGCCTCTTCTGCTCATTCTCCGAAGAAGTCATTCTGAAATTTCCCTGTATCTGCTGCAGTGGAGTGTCACACTCCAACATAAATTAAACCAAGTTCAAGCGTTTGGTGTAAAGATTTTTCATTGTCAGCAGCTCCAGGGTTTACACACTCCAGAAAGCAAAGAGCACATGTTTATGTAGAGACTGGGCAGTTGCCTCTTTCCAATTAAATGTCATCCTTGCCAAGTCAGTTCCCACCTGCTGTTTATTTGAAAAATAGAAATTATGGTCTTCCTTCTCACTCTCTCCAGCTCAGTTTTCAAAAGAGGGGAAAGTGCTCAGCCCAAATAGAAAGATGCACACAAGGCTTAATGTATTAATGTCTACAGGATAAGGGCCCTACTTTGTCATTATCAATATTTTTTCTCCTTTTTTCAATTAAAATAAGCCCAGCTGCTAAACAACCTCTATGAAATAGAAACATTCAACTTAAAACTGCACTTCTGTCTCAATACCTTTAACCTATCACTGACAGACATTAGCATGTAAAGTGTCTCACTATATTTTTCAGTTTGTTTACTTTATGTATTCAACAGCACTTTGTGTATGTTGGTTGCAGAGTTTTCCATTTTTAGTCAGTAGGTTTCTACTGTTTAGGTGGGTCTTTCACATACCATAGGGAAGAAATTAACATTTAAAAAAATAAATTGGAAAATGTGATGTACAAAAATACAAAGAAATTGCAGAAGTTGATCCAATAAAAGACATTACTTCACCACATTGTCTCTCTAATATCCTGGGACCAATACGGCTACAACTACACTGCATACAGGGAGACTCAAGGGCAGTTGTAGTATCTGACACTACTTTTAATTAATTTTTGGAAATTAACGAGATATCAAGTTGATTGGCTGCCTTTACTAAAGATAAATGTTTACTCTGCCTTTGGTCATGTGAGCTTGAAGTGAATTCATGCCAAAGTTTCTTTGCTAAAACCCAAATGTACAAAACAAATGAAAGGAAATTAAATTCCCATTTTATCAGTGGGAACTCCATTCAAATTTGATCACAGAGTTGAGTCATTTTGCATCCGGGTATTGGCTGTCTCCATGAAGGTTTATCTTTCTTGTTCCCTAATTGGAAATGTGCCCCTGGGACTAGGGTGCAGAAGGGAATGGAATTTCTACCCTCTGCCCTGCCCCCAGTCAGATCCAGCACAATGCTTCTCTGGAACCGTGGGAGGTTTGGAGCTCTCCCACGCTGCTGGTTATGACAGTGTAAAGGGGCTAAACTGTACGTGAGAATCAGGCCCATCGTTTAAAACTTTTTTTTTTTAAACTGTGGAAATATGTATCCTGTCACTTTTGCTGTTCAAGATTAGACAATGCCACTTATTGTTTTCTGAGCACAAAAGGTATCTTACAGAGGCTGATTCTGTTTAATTCAGGTCACATCCAGTAAGTTAACAAGGCAAGAGCTGTTGTTCTGTAAGTGCTTTGCAAGGCTGGCTGCTTTTATGGATTTTTTTAAAGTTAAAATTTAATCTTCCTTCACTGATATGGTGAGATTCAAGCATTATTAGCATGTTTCTTTGGGTAAACTCTGAGCTGCTAGTTCTCAGGCTAACATATTGAGCAACCTTAAAAAAATAAATCCAAAACCAAACATCATAATTTTGAAAGTTTATTGGGAAGTCAGTCTTCAAAGGAGTTGTTTCCATTTTGGATTGCTTCTTAATTACAGAATATCTCTACAGCAATAATATGGATAATGAAGAAGTAATAAGGTGCATAATTAAAGAGGGGAGATGATGTAGCATTATATAGGGCATAGTATAGGGCCAATTTTTTAAAGCAGTCTCCAATCATACGCCAGTTTTGCTGGCATAACTAATTGCTGCTGTGAACTAGCCTTTAGATGTTTAAGTACCTGATTTACAAGCACAATGGGGTATACATCTAAATAAAAGCATTTGTGCTCACCCTAAGGGCATGTCTACATGTACTGTGCTGCAGCAGCAGAGCTGCACCAGTACAGAGCGCTATGCACACTAGGACTTCTGCAGGCATATCTGATGTCGCTCACGGGGTGGAATACTCATATCCCTGAGCCACATAAGTTTTGCTGACATAAGGGGTAGTGTAAACATGACCTTAGTTACAGTTTCAACTAACTATAGGCACAAATTTGCCCTGGTTTAAAAATCAGGCCCTAGTAGGGGTGGGTTAAGAACACAATCAAATAGCAACAGATAAGTCTGCTACAGATTCCACGTCAAAAACCACATATAGCTATGCTTTTTCTCAGCTGGGATTTCAAAAGAATTTAAGGGAGTTAAGCACCCAATGGGCCCCTTCTTTTGAAAATCCTACCCTGTATAATTACACTGAAGATAGTTTTCCTTAACCAAAACACCTCCAAAAAAAGGGCTTGCAAGTTAGAGCACATTAAAGCAGCCCTGGGCACCTTAACTCCTGAGGTGTCCACACTGGCAAGGCACTTAGAGCGCCTGGACTCTGCAGCTGGAGTGCTCCTGGTAATCTACCTCCACAAGAAGCATAACGCTTGCTGCGCCCTGGCTGAAATGCCTGGGCGTCAGTGTGGATGACGTGTTGCATTACTGCGCTGTGATTGGCCTCCGGAAACATCCCATAATGCCCTGAAGTCAAGTGGCCACTCTGGTCATTGTTTTGAACTTGGCTGCAGGCATGCGGATATCACCTTTCAAAGCTCCGTTTCTGACAGCCGGCATGCATATCTGCTCTGGGACAAAGCAAGCCATTACTGTGGAATGCTGCTGTTGTGAGTGTGTGTGAGAGGGGAGGGGAGGGTCTGCTGCTGTCTGAACTTACAAGACAGCATGCTGACACACTGTCAGCACCCCAAAAACCCACTCTCTCCCCCTACATACACACAACACACGCCCTGTCACACTCCACCCCCCCCACTTTGAAAAGCACGTTGCAGCCACCTGAACACTAAGATAGCTACCACAATGCACTGCTCTTTGTGGCGTTGCAAGAGCTGCTAACGTGGCCACGCCACTGTGCTTGCAGCTGACAGTGTAAACACACGGCAGCGTTTTCCCTGCTGCGGTCTCCAAAGGCTGGTTTAACTCCCAGCTCTCTACATCTGCAAGTGTAGCCAAGCCCTGAGTCTTATTTTATTTAACTACTGTAAGCCTTTCTCACCAGCTTATAAATATTCTAATGGATATAAGAGTCTGGGCCTAAACTAGCTGTCATGGCTCTCAGCTTGCTAAGGCTCCAAAACATGACACTAGCCTTCATAATACACGAATGACACACAGCGGGAGAGGAAGCTTGAAACAATGTCTTTTACTTCTTTTATCATGGATAAAATTATGCATCACCTCCTTTACAAGATTCAGCATTTCTAATTCAATAATTTAGTGATGAGCCTGAAATAAATCCAGAGTCCAAACAACTCTGTATTTTGGGGGATTTTAGGTCTGGATTCAGTTTGGGACTCAGATCCAAACTTTGCAGCTTGGGCCCATTTTTAATAAATGTCAGTGATTAAAAGCATGACGACATCTTGGTTGTGTGGGAAGTTGGTAAATTTGATCATAAAGTGAACAATGTTTGTACATTCTAAACTAGGCTCCATTGAGAAGTATGCTACTTAGCAGTGACCTCAAGGAAAAGGATCTGTACAGAATTACCTTAATATGCAGTGATCTGACATTCCAGTGTAAACTGACCTGATATGCCTATTACTGTACTAAGGATTGAGAGAAAGATCTTTTATTTCACTCTTGACACTTTTATACCAACCATTGTTTGTACTTAATTAATATGTTCTCTATTAAAGTATTCTTTTGAAGCCACAGTTCGAGGTTACTGTGTTCTTGCTCAAAGTGCATTAAAATAATACCTTTAATATGCATTCTTTGTCTGCCTAAAACAACATGACATTACTTGGATGCAGTATAAGAATAGTGAATATTATCTTTTCATTAAGAATTAGTAGCAGATTCTGAAGTAGAAATAAATGCTAATGTCTTGGCAACTGTTTACCAGCAACTCTTACAAACAGCAACTTTATAGAAAAAGATTATAAAATACAGCAAAAGCAAACCTAAGATTTAGTGAATTAGTAAATACTGTTTCAGAGTAGCAGCCGTGTTAGTCTGTATTCGCAAAAAGAAAAGGAATGCATCCGATGAAGTGAGCTGTAGCTCACGAAAGCTTATGCTTAAATAGAATCATAGAATCATAGAATATCAGGGTTGGAAGGGACCTCAGGAGGTCATCTAGTCCAACCCCCTGCTCAAAGCAGGACCAATCCCCAGTTTTTGCCCCAGTTCCCTAAATGGCCCCCTCAAGGATTGAACTCACAACCCTGGGTTTAGCAGGCCAATGCTCAAACCACTGAGCTAAATAAACTGGTTAGTCTCTAAGGTGCCACAAGTACTCCTCTTTTTTTAGTAAATACTGTGTAATATTCTCTTTGGCAGTCCTCGGTGTTTCTTACAAAGCCCTGAGAATCCCCTCTTTAATCCTTCCCACTTCAGTTCTAACACGCTTGATGTCCAGTGTGTCAAGTTACTAGCTGTTCTGTATTACTTCAGTGCCTGAGGACATTGTGCTTTGTTTGGGTCACTGTTGAGTGAGAGAAGCCCAGATCCACAAAGTCCCATTGGGGATTTTGGCACCACTGTGATGCACAAAATCCCTGCTCAGCTGGTGCTGTCCCTGGAGATGCCTAAACTCGTTAGGCATCTAATTTTTCCTGTAAAAGTTTCCTAGGTGCCTACGTTTCTGCCTCTGGGCATGTGCACAGCTGCCTCAGGCAGGCATCCAGATGCCTATTTCCCCTTTAACACCAGCCTGATCCTGAAACCAGGTGGAGAAAATAGCCATTGCCCTGCCTGTGTTGCCTGCAGGGCCCCATCTAGAACACGCCTAACCACACACGCAATAGACTGGGAGAAAGGCGGCCTCCCTTTTAACCTTTAGCCCAGTGGTTAGGGTACTCACCCAGGATTCGGACAACCTAGTTCAACTCCCCCTTCTGCCTGATGAGGAAAAGGGATTTAAACAGGGATCTCCTACTGCTCAGGTGAGTGTCCTAGCTGCTGGACTATAGGATATTCTGATGTCGGGCTCAATCTCTTCTGTTGAATCTGATTCACTTTGTATAGAGTTAAATAAATAAATATGCATTGGGTCAAAGAGAGAGAGAGAGAGAGGTGGGGGACCTCAGTTCACATTCCCTCTCATGAGGCAGAAGGGAGAATTAAACCAGGGTGTCCTACACACCAGGTGAGTGTTTTAACTACTGGGCTAAAAATTATAAAGGAGACCTCCACCTCCACCTCCTCTTCCCATCTTGCATGGAGTTGGGTGTGCACCGCTGCTGCTTTTGCAAGAAATGGTTTAGGTGCCTGATTTCGGGAGAGGGGTTCCCAGCTGTGGATTGCAAGAAAAGACAGGTGCCTCCTTCCAGCCTGAATTTAGGTGCCAAACTTACACCTACCCCCCTCATTGGTGTTAGTCATTGGCTAGCTTAGGCGAGATTGACCAGATAGCAAGTGTGAAAAATCAGGACAAGAGGTGGGGGCAATAGGTGCCTACACAAGACAAAGCCCCAAATATCGGGACTCTCCCTATAAAATCGGGACATCTGGTCACCCTAGCTTGGGCAGCTCCCCATCTGGCAAGCTGGCTTTCATGGATCCCATTCTCAGGCATCTCTCTCCCCATGCATCACATAGGGAGCATAGCCTTAACCCAGGGTTTGTGAATTCCACTGTTTGCCTAGCCACCTAAAAGTTAGACATTACTACACTCAGCGTTGCCACTTAAAAGGGGCTGATTTTCAGAGGGTGGGTTCTCAGCACTTTCTCAAAATCAGGTCTCCTTGTGGATCTGGGACAGGGCCCCTTCTTTACTCCAAGACAGAGAAGCTCAGCTACTCTGGTGATCAACACCACTGTAAGACCCTGGAGCTTGATATACCATCTCAGATCATCTCCGTAAATAATTTATTTCAAATTACTATTCTGTAACTCACATTCTTCTTCTGCAAAATGCTCTAGGGGCATATGGTACAGATCACATCTTGAAAAATAAGTTAAATACCTGGATGCACTGTAATTTAGACTTTGACTAAAAGGGCTTATTTGTTCCTCATGTTCAATCTATTTTTCTTGAGAGGGTTAATGTAAATCAAATGAGAAGGGGGGAGCACACTAATTTAGATTGTTGTGTGGTCACCATCTGGTGCAGTGACCTTGCATTATCGTTTGTAATGGGACAGGTGGTTGTAGGTCCTCTGCTCATAGCCCAGTTCTGCACTCACATTATTGTTTAACCGGTCTCTGAAGTGTATAAATAAGTAGGCAATAAACCACCTATTTCCCATAATTAGTATACCCCAATTTCACTCACTTAAATGGACAAACCAACTTTTACGGTAAAGATTTATAATAGATTGGTACGTATGTCTAATGTTTACATACTGAGGGCTTAAATTGACCAGGCCTTTAATTATGCACATATGCACCCATTTGAACATGCTAATGGCCATTTACTCATGCTAACACAAGTATGTACATACAGGTGTGGCCACAAACAGTGACTATGTCTTGTAAACTTGTCCCAAAATTTTTTTATTAAGCTTTGGAAGGATTAAATTCACTCTGAATTTGAACACTAAATACAACTGTAGATGGTGACTAAGCCCACACGACGCTGGTATCTAAGCTACTGCTGCCGTCTGACTTAGTTTTTGAAAAAATAATACATATTTTTTCACTCTTCTGGAGCTCTTCTGAAAGGCCCTTACCCTCTCCACATTCAGGTTCTTGAAGACCCCTCTCTGCCATGATGACTATAGGAAACTTTCTGATTGACAATGACAAGCTTGAGGGATAATTTGGGAATAGTTTATACGCCAAGATTTTTAAAAGTGACTAGTGGTTGAGTGCCCAACTTGAGATACCTTAAGGGGAGCTGATTTTCAGAGGGTGGGTTCTCAAAACTTTCTGAAAATCAGACCCCTTTAAGGTGTATCACACTGAGCATGCAAAAATTAAGGCACCCTTTTGAAAATCAATATATCTGTCTATTTTATTATATGTAGATTTTTATTTGTTGGATCCTTCCTGCACATCCTCTCTGAGTTTGTAATTAGATTGTGAACTTCTCTGGGCAAGGACTGTGTTGTCTTTTCTATTTGGAAAGCACATAGCACACTAGAGGTGCTACTACAGATAAATATTAATTTCACTCCAAGTCTCAAACCTTTATCATGTTGGGTTTGCCCTCTTTTGGAGTTGAGTTTTTAATGTACAAGAGTCATTTCTGGTCATGGAAGGTTGAGGTGTAAATAATTAGTAAATCAGAGAGTTCATACTAAACATGAAAGTGTTTGCACACGATTTGTAAAGCACAAGATTTCTTTGTTAATGTAACGAATGACATATTTTTGTGTATATTTTTTTAAACAGCAAATAAAGTATTACCTGGAGAGGGCAGTGAAGAGCTAAAAAAAAGAAAAATGAAATCAATTTGATATTTCTACACAGAATAATATTAGATGAAACATACTAGGGACTGTTTCACTAGGAAATACTTTTGGGCTTCTGTGTTTAAGAAGCAATGGAAGACTGAATATTTCCCACACTGTATTTGTACAGGCTCTCTGTTTCAGGAGCTGGACATAATTTTTGAATGGTATTTATTGAATCTGGCTTTAAGAAAATGTTTTCCCAACATTCTTAACTACAAAAACATTGTTTAGCGAAGAATTTTTATTTTGCTGGAAGGTGTCACCATAAAAGAAGGTTTAATTGCTACCCCTTATGAAAATTTACAATTTGAAATGTTGGTATAAAGGGTACCTGGAAAAGGCACAAAGAGTCACAGTGCAGCCTAAGATACAGTGTGACACAGGGATATTATCAAAGTCATGGGGCTTTTTAATTAATCTACCTTAAATACGATAACACTTGCCTTTAGTAAGTGTGATCTTAAAAACTCATCTTGTTATGGCACTTGACTCAAGGTGCAGTTGTTAGAAAAGCGACAATGTAAGACTAACACAGCTACCACTCTGAAACCAGTGTAAGAACAGCAACTCTTACTTACCTGGCCGCATTGTCCTAGATACAGCACAAAACCATAACAAGATAGGGTCTCCGCCCTGAAAAAATGATGATCTGATTTCCCAGTTCACCATTTTCTAGAGCACGTTTCTACTTTGCAGAAACCATTGACACAATTAGCAGCCTCATCAACAGTCTTAGCCAAGGAGAGATAACAAGACGTTCTCACCATATGGACCCAAATTTATTGGTGTTTTCCTATGCATGTGAGGACAAAATTGGGCCAGGTACTTCTAGATTTAGAGGCAGGGCAGAATGGAGAAACTGGCAATGCCATCCCTAATTTAATAGATAAATTATAATTCAGTTTCCCTGAGGAGAAAGCTTATTGCTGTTTTTGAAGATGCTGCTGTTTTTCAATGAAACATTTACACTCACCTTCATAAACATTGTCTGAGCAGTAGCAGCTTCTGGCCAGGCCAGGCTGAGGCCTGGTCTACACTACACAGTTAGGTCGACATAAGCTGCCTTACGTTGACCTCATAATGAATGTGTCTACACTACCAGGTCCCTTCGGCCGACGTAACACACCTACTACATCAACTTAATTTCTCCTCCTCTGCGAGAGGAGTAGCACTTAATTGGATGCTGTTAGGTTGACATAGAGGCAGTGTAGACACCATGTTACTTACGTCGACTTAACTGACCTTAATTGAGATGTTCCACAATGCTCCGCTGAGACCACACTGGTAAACGTTTTCAATCTTTTGCACAGCAGCCAGGTACATAGGAAAAAGCCTTTCCCCTGCTCAAGGACTAGGAACTTTGGAATTTCCATTTCCTGTTTTTTCAGTGTGGAGCACTCACCTGCCCAGCCGATCATGGTGGCTCCGCGTTCCAAACGCGCTCCAGCCTGGAGCACACAGGAGGTAGTGGATCTTCTTGGTCCGTGGGGAGAAGAGGCTGTGCAGGCATAGAAACGTACACATCTACGAGGAGCTGCATGCGATTCTCATGGGCGACCCCACAATGTCCCCCGAGAGCAGCATGGATACCTCTGAGGAGTTGGAGTCCCAGGCCAGCGCAGGCAACACTGAGAAGGAGGTTGTGGACAAGGAAGAGGAGGAGAATGGGAGACAGGTGAGTGGGTGATCCATTCTCCCAGAGAGCCAGGAACTGTTTGTAGCCCCAGAGCCGTCCAGAGGGTCGCAGGACAGCATCATGACCGAGTGTGATGCTGGGGAGTATGCAATTTCAAGTAATATTTGGGGGTCAAATGTTCTTATATTCTACCTTTTATTAAAATTGACAAGGTGAGATAGAGTGACTATCTGCCTCCCTGTGTGGGTGCCCCATGAAAAAGACTGTTTATGTACACAGGAATGGCTTGGGAATCCTACACAGAGATAGTCAGGAAACTTAGGTGGAGGTACTCTGTAGTCCGTTGCAGGGTTTTGGGGAAGGGCTGCCTTATTTCTTCCACTTTGGTAGGACACTTTCCCACGCCACTCCAGCATTAATTCAGCTGGCATCATCACAGTACACAGCATAGCAGCATAAGGACCCAGTCTGTACCCGGACGCTTGCAGCATCTGTTCCCTTGCCACCTCTGTTACCCTCAGGAGAGTGATATCAGCGAGAGTCACCTAGGGGAGATGCTGGTAGTTTTCATTTCAATTACTTGGACCAAAAACAATAGTGCCGGTGCTCTCCCACCCATGCCCATTGTGATTTTTCTGCTCCTTCACTCCTGGTTTCCAAAACATGGCTGTAGTTTGGGTGGCAGGGGTTGGCGCTGACCTTAGTAATTGCAAGCCTTGTGTGATGGCTAGCACCAGCAGCACCGGAGAGGGAAAATTTGTGGTGCCCACTCGCTGCTGCAACCACCTCCCTGGTGTAGCCTCTGCCAAGGCTTGCAGTTTGTGAGGGTCAATGCTGGTCCCTGATCTCCAGTCAACGTCCATGTTACAAAGGGGAGGCCCCCTGCCCATCTCTGGTCCCGCTGCAAGTTGCCCATCCAATGCTCCTGACGGTTCAGTGTCCATGCCCCAGGACCATACTCACCATGGCTGGGACAGCAAAGCGGTTCAGTGAATATTTTGTGTAAATGAAAATGTTCTGCTGTGAAATAAGGGGAGTGATTTTTAAACAGCAACTCTGCACTAGACCCTGATTCTGCACTGACAGTGGTTGCTTTGTGCTTTCCATGGCTTACTGCTGAAAGAGTGGCCTTCAGCTCTTCCTCCACACCAATGGAGAGGCTCTCCCAGACAAGACGAAGGTGAAAGAGAATGTGTGATGACACATTTAAGGAGATTGTGATCGGCTCTGCGACAGCAGACACGGAGCAGAGAGCGTGGAGGATTTCTCTCTCTGAAAAACTGGACATGGACATCGTGAGCAGGAGAGCAGCCCAGGAGAGTAAGCGTGGCACGCAGCAGGAGATGCTGGGGATTCTGAAGGAACAAACAGACACGTCGAGACATCTGGTTGACCTTCAGAAACATCTTGAGGCTACACTCCCTCTGCAGCCCCTGCACAACAGCATTCCTGCATCACTGTATTCCCCCTCCCCCTCTCCCAAACCTTCCAGCAGGCGAGGGGGAGGGTCCTAAGAATAAAAGCCGCACATATAATGATGTGACAGGCAAGGCCACTGTACTTTTAAAGAGAAGATGAATGTGTTTTTCCCCTCCCGATTTATTCTACTGTGTGTCCAAGGTTAAATTCTATTTGTGATCTTTAAGTTTCAGTATGTTTGCACAGTAAAAGTCCATGTTTTAGGAATGAAATAATCTTTATTAATTTAAAACGAGGGGGGAAGGAAGGGGAGGGGCAGGAAACAGGAAAAAGAGGGGATATGTTAGAGACAAAAATCTAGCAGTCACAGCAAGGTTCACACTATGGGAAGACACAATACAGAGAAGCAGCGCAGATTATTGTGGGTCATTACTGAAATGGGTTTTCCAAGCCTCCTTGAGACGCAGCACTCCATGCTGAGCTCTTCTTAGAGCCCCTGGTATCTGGCTGCTCAAAATTGGCAGACAGCCTATCCGCCTCCACACCCCACCCCTGTGGGAATTTCTCTCCCTTTCCCTCACAGATATTATGAAGCACACAGCAGGCAGCTATAACCATGGGGATATTATTTTCACTGAGGAGTAACCTAGTAAGCAAACTGCACCAGTGACCCTTTAAATGGCCACATTCAACCACCATTCTGCACTTGCTGAGGGTTGAACCAACCCTTGCTGCTGTTCAGGTAACCGGTGTACGGCTTCATGACCCATTGGAGTAAGGGGTAGGCTGGGTCTCCCGGGCTCACTATTGGCATTTCAACATCACCAAGAGTTATTTTGCATTCCAGAAATCAAATCCCTGCTGGCAGCTTTCTGAACAGACCCGTGTTCTTAAAGATGTGCGCGTCCTGTACCTTCCCACACTGATGTCAGTAAAACACTCTCAGTGATCCACCAGTACTTGCAACAGCATTGAAAAGCATGCCTTTCTGTTTATGTTCTCTTTGGCAAGATGGTCTGGTGCCAAGATAGGGATATATGTGCCATCTATCGCCCCACACAGTTAGGGAACCCCACTGTGGCAAAACCATCCAGTATTTCTTGTACATTGCCCAGAGTCCAACCCTTCTTAGCAGAAGTTGATTAATGACCCTGCATACTTGGATCACAACAACCCGCACAGTAGATTTACCAACTCCAAATTGATTCCCCACTGACCGGTAGCAGTCTGGCGTTGCAAGCTTCCACACAGCAATCACCGCTCTCTTCTCCACTGTCAGCGCAGGTCTCATTTTAGTGTCACAGTGCTGGGCGGAGCTCCGCGCACAGTTCCTGAAAAGTGGCCTTGTGCATACGAAATGCTGCAGCCACTGATCGTCATCCCATAACTGCAAAACAATGCGATCCTACCAGTCAGTGCTTGTTTCTCAGGACCAGAAACAGCACTCTACCATGTTGAGCTGCTGCGTGACTGCCAGCAGCAGCCAAGAATTGTTTCATTCTATGGCTTCCACCAAGGCTGCTTCAAGGACATTGCAATGTTCTGCCCGGCGGCTCCTCTCACAGCTCTTGAAGTACTGCAGGATAAGGTGTGTGGTGTCAGTAATGCTCACAACAACAGTGCACAACTGAGCAGGGTTCATGCTTCTTGGGATATGGTGTACACGCGACTATGCCAGACTTTTGAAAAAAGGCAAGAAATATTATGGGTTGCAGTTCAAATCAGGGGAGGGAGGGAAAAAACTGCATCAAGAATCCATGTTCTCAGTCCCCCCTGTGAGAATGTTTTGGCCCCTTGAGGCATTGCAAGCCCTTCCCAAAACCCCCTGGGGCGAGTTGCACTGAGGGATAGCTACCCACGGTCTACTGCTCTCTGCATCGATGCAAGCGTTGCTAGTGAGGATGCACTCCATCAACACAAGGAGTGTGTGGTGTGGACACGCACTACCAACTTAATTACTGCGGCAGCTGGATGTCGACTTAACTGAAGTCAACTTACGTTTGCAGCGTAGACATGCCCTGAGAGAATGTGCATGGAGGAGAATAAGGCTACCAAGCACTATTTAAGATGTGAACAGAGAGCATGCTTGGAATTCATTTTGCAATGACTTATAGCTTTCGGAGGTTTTTAAATTTTGTCCATCCTGAAATTAAAGTAAAAGATTCTTCCTAAAGTAGGAGTCTAGACTAGAACTCCACCTGTTAAAATTAAACTAAAAGTGTTCAACTGTGTCTATATTGGTGGTAAATGGCATTTTCAAACGAGTTAAACTAGCTCAATTAAACTAACTCAGTTGAAAAAAACACATTTTTTCATATTCTATACAAGGTCTTATTAGAGTTATCAGCCATATGCCAAGTGTGGAGAGTTTTTGTGCAGCTCTTATTGAGTTATTGGTGAGCAAATATAAAACAAACCAAAAATTGCTTCATTGTTTCAGCTTCAAAAGTTATTTTCTCCCATATATCATAACTCAAAAATAGCCAAAGAGTTTTAGCTCAGACTTTCCCTCATCATTCATCTCTGGGTTGAGACAATGCATGGAAAGTTCCAACCTTAAATGATAAGTTTTTGAGAAACCTGTGAACATGTGAAAACAGAAGATTACACTTGAAGAAACCTTTACTATATCTTTTCTAAAGCTGTCATTCACCCTTAGTCTCTAATGTTTCAAGTTTAATTAAACTTCTAAAAAGCTCCTCCACAATTGAATGGAAAAAAGCATTAGGGTCCAATCCTGTAACTCAACCAACTAAATTGCATTTAAAGTCAATGGGAATTCACAGTACTAAGCCCCAAATTTATTGCTAGTGTTCCAGCATATTGTCTGCATTGAGATCATTTATACTGAGACTGTGGCTGAAATCCAAGATGTTATTGCAAATCTAGGAGAAAATTACCTTTCAAATGACATAGTGCAACATTCAACTCTTTACATTCTGGGAAGAGTTCATGTCTGACTGTTCATTTATTCAGAATGTCCAAAGTGTAAGTACCGCAGGTGTATGAAATGGCATTAGAACGCTGGACACCAAGAGAATGCTATATTTTTCTGGTGATTAAATTAATTCTGCCTTTATTATCAAGTTTTACAATATCACTACCTGCCAGGTGCTGTGATTGCCCAGAAGTGCACTTTAAAAATAGCTATTAAACTACATTTTGTTAAAAATGCTGGTACAAATCTGTGTCAAAACTGAAGCTGAGCAGTTAATGACAGAGTAATACCATAGCTTGAAAACAGTAGAACTATTATAGATGATGCAGATAGCATTGTCTATAGTTAAGATTGCCCCAACACTGTAAGACCCTGTTTTCAGTTGTTGATAAATGCAAAGTAATGCATATTGGAAAACATAATCTCAACTATACATACAAAATGATGGGGTCTATATTAGCTGTTACCACTCAAGAAAGAGATCTTGGAGTCATTGTGGATAGTTTTCTGAAAACATCCACTCAACTTGCAGCGGCAATCAAAAAAGCTCACAGAATGTTAGGAACCATTAAGAAAGGGATAGATAAGAAGACAGAAAATATCATATTGCCTCTATATAAATCCATGGTATGCCCACACCTTGAATACAGTGTGCAGTTCTGGTTGCTCCATCTCAAAAAAGATATATTAGAATTGGAAAAGGTACATAGAAGAGTCACAGAAATGATCAGGGGTATGGAACAGCTTCTGTATGAGGAGAGATTAAAAAGACTGGGACTTTTCAGCTTGGAAAAGAGACAACAAAGAAGGGATATAACATGATTCAAAAAAGAACTAGATACATTGATGAAGGATAGGTCCATCAATGGCTACTAGCCAGGATGTTCAGGGATAGAACACCATGCTCTGAGTATCCCTAGCCTCTGTTTGCCAGAAACTGGGAATGAGCTACAGGGAATGGATCACTTGATGATTACCTGTTCATTTCCTCTGGGGCACCTGGCATTAGCCACTGTTGGAAGACAGGATACTGGGCTAGATGAACCTTTGGTCTGGCCCAGTATGGCTGTTCTTAAAGAAGGTGTGTGGTGAATGAGAATGGGGACTACACAAAAAGAAAGGACAGCCATAGGGCCTTTCTTCACTGCAATGGGTAGCCTGAGTTACTCCATTCAAGTTAGCCTAGCTATAGGGTACATCTACATTTCAAGCTGCAGATGTAAGTTCCAGGTCCAGGAGAGGTACCTGCACTAGCTCTGATTGAACTAATGTGCTAAAAATAGAGCACAGCCATGGTGTCTCAAGTGTTGGGAGGGGCTAGCCATGATAATACTCACCTAGTGTCCCCAGTGGGATCATATTCCGGGAAGCTGGCCCCTCCCACCACTCTGGCTACACTGCTATTTTTAGCAGGCTGGCTTGGTCAGAGCCAGTGTGAGGATGTCTACCTGAAGTGGAAATTACATCCTTAGCTCCATCCTGGGAGACAACACTCAAGCTACACAGTGATTTCACTAGCAGCATGAAGTGAACGAATTAGCATAGTGATTGGCTTAGCAGTTGATGAGTTTGGCTAACTCAAACTGTAGCCTGTAGCTCAGGGGTGGGGAACCTTTTTTCTATCGGGGCCACAGAAAAGAAAACAGCTGTGGGCCACAAAGAGCCCTGCGTGGGGCGGCGTGGAGGCTCAGGGCTTCCCCTTGGCTCCGGGCTGTGGCCAGAAATAAGAGGTTCATGGTACAGGAGGGAGCTCCAGGCTGGGGCAGGGGGTTGGGGTGTGGGAAGGGGTGAGGACTCTGGCTGGGGGTGTGGACTCTGGGGTGGGGCTGAAGGGCTTTAGGGTGCAGGAGGGGGCTCTGGGCTGGGGCAGGGGATTGGGATGTGGGCTCCAGCCATGCGGTGCTTACCTCAGGTGGCTCCCAGTCAGTAGCGCAGCGGGGCTAAAGAAGGCTCCCTGTCTGCCCTGACTCCACACTGCTCTCAGAAGCAGCCACCAGGTCCAGCCCCTAGGCAGAGGGGCCGGGGGCACTGTGCAGTGCCCTCACCCGCACCCGCAGGCGCTGCACCCGTGGCTCCCATTGGCCATGGTTCCTGGCCAATGGGAGCTGCAGAGCTGGCGCTGGGGGCAGCACACAGATCTTCCTTGATCGTCCCTGCTTGTAGTGGCGGCAGGGACATGCCAGTCGCTTCCGGGAGCTGGAGCTGCCGAGGCTCGGGGCTTCCAGCCCCTGGCGCGGAGACTTGCTGTGGGCCGGATGAAATGAAGCAGCTGGCCAGATTCAGCCTGTGGGCCATAGATTCTCCAGCAGGAGAGTGAGTTTGTGTGTGTATGGGGGTGGGGGGGTGAGAAAACCTGGATTTGTGCTGGAAATGGCCCACCTTGATTATCATGCACATTGTAGGGAGAGTGGTCACTTTGGATAAGCTATTACCAGCAGGAGAGTGAGTTTGTGTGTGTGGTTTTTGGAGGGGGGTGAGTGGGTGAGAAAACCTGGATTTGTGCTGGAAATGGCCCAACTTGATGATCACTTTAAATAAGCTATTACCAGCAGGACAGTGGGGTGGGAGGAGGTATTGTTTCATATTCTCTGTGTGTATATAAAGTCTGCTGCAGTTTCCACGGTATGCATCCGATGAAGTGAGCTGTAGCTCACAAAAGCTCATGCTCAAATAAATTGGTTAGTCTCTAAGGTGCCACAAGTACTCCTTTTCTTTTTCCATCCCTGCTGTGGCTGCATCTCTAGTGTATGACTAGTTGGTGTTCCCCTGCCATAATCTCGGACAGGCCAGTATCCAGCTAGCTAGAATTTACAACACCATTTAACTGGAGCTAAAGATTTTTGTGAGTGCATGGGAGTTGAGTTATGTCTACATTACAGAGTGTATGTCGGTGTAGCTATGCCGGCATAGTCTCAGAGTGTAGCTGCCACATATGCTGATAGAAGTAGCTTTTCTGCCAGTGCAGGAACATCACCTCTCCACATGACCTTAGTAGATCAACAGGGCACTCTTATGTTGCTTTAGCTGCGCCTGCACTAGGGTTTTGTCAGCATAGCTATGTCATTGGGGGTGTTTTTTTCACACCCCTGGCAGACATAGATATGCTGATATAAGCTTTAAGTGTAGACCAAGCCTTGGGTTAAGGGCAACACTTGAGTTATACCTCGAGCTAACCACATTGAAGACAAACCCATCTTTAATGCAGTTGAGTGCCACTCTGGACAACTGCCTTCTAACCCTGCCTCTGCCACAGTTCTTATGTGATGCTGCGCAAATCACGTTAATCAAAATTTTCACAAGTGGCAACTGAATTTATCATTTTCTGTGTATTTCACTTGACACACTTGGTCTGATTTGCAGAAGTGCTGAGCTCTCACAACTGCTGCTGAGCTCAATGCAAGCTCTGCTGAACATATGTTCAGTAGTCTGAAAAATCAGGCCATAAATAT